GCGGACGACAACTCGCCTACATAATCAAGGACGTATTTTGGTATCGACCAACCCGAAGGGATGGTTTCCGCCTCGCCAGACCCCTCGGGCATGGGCCCCGTGTCAACCGACCTTGAGGGCACGGGCTCCGTCTCGCCCGACCCCTCGGGTGCGGGCTCCGCCTCACCCGGCGGGGTCCGTACCACCCCCAACCACTATGGGTCCAAGCATGTGGGCCTGGGTCAAGCCTCTGACACTAGAAGGGGCACGAGCACGCCTTGACATGACCTGTGGCCACGACAGGCCACGCCCGGGGGTTCGCATCGCCAACAATAATGGGTGTGTGGGCGTTGTGCTGCCTACTCTCCATATGGCCGCTGACGAGCACGTCAGTTCACCACGTCGTCCGTCGGGACGGGATGTAATGCCACGACCAGCTGATGACGTCGAAGCATAGCACCAGTGGTGAACAGGAGCCCAACGTGGAGCCATCCCCGTCACCATGTACAGTGTCGGCGGGACCCGCATGAAGAAGAAGAAGGACGCGACGGTCCCAAAGGGCTTCTTCTCCTTGATTTTCTCCCTCTTTCTCTCTCTCTTCTCTTTTTCTGATTAACCTGCATCTTCCCCTTCTTCTATACAAGGAGGGAGACAGAGGCACGAGCATATGGCTGAGCAGCTGAACAAACTCTCAGCACTTTTCAATCCTTCCACCAAAGACCTAGGATCCGCTCCCTCTCTCGCCCATCTATAACCCCTACTACAGACAGTGTCGGTAACACGAGCAGCAGCAGACTGGACGTAGGGACATTCTACCCGAACCGGTATAATCATTGTGTCCTCCGAGCACACCATCCAGGCCAGACGCGCAAACTAGAAATTTACTAGCTGGTGATCCGAAACACCGGCAATTATCATCATAGCACTTGATGAATATGATGTGCTTTCTTATCATTATTAGTTATAGTTATGATCATAGCCCATCATAACCACACCATTAGAGCAAGGGCAATGATACCGCCCGCTCGCCGGCGAAACAAACTCCAGCGTGGCTTCCAATTAATGCGGCAATGGCAGCCAGTAGCTTCAGAATAGTACAAGATGCGACTAATGCGGAGCGAGCGCAGCAGCAGAGCATCGAATGGGAGCACGGGCGCGCGTATACCGCCCGCTTCAAGCCGGCGTTTCGCGAGACGCTCGCTCCGCACTCTCTCTCCTTTACTCTCTCCGCCAGCGGGGATTCAGCCGGCTTGCAGCCAGCCATAATACTTGCTCTTATGCACGGTCACACATATGTCTTCCTGATCATCTAGGTTCTAGGCAGAATACATGATCCAAACATAAAAACTGAATGTACCAAGTGGTTGTCTGTCTATAAACTGGTGCATTGCTAGGTACTTTAGTTTCCTTTTTTAGAATGGACACGGTTCTTCTAAAATATTAGCATGAACCTAATAAAGCATCTTTAACTAACAACCTCACTAGTGTTCAAAAAAAAAACCTCACTCGCTCATCCGAGCCAATTCATGATGATTATACCCATGATTTACAGTAGGATTTTGTGACTTCATATAGGTGAGTGTGAATTCATATTTATAAGTGTCTACGTCTACACAGTAACTAAAAAAACATCTCACAACAACATTATTAGCATTTTCTTGATTTCCGGAGCCTGCTCCCCTTGGCTGGGCCGAAGTTCGACACTGTTGATGCTGGAATCACTGTTTATGCTGAAATTTTATGAGAGAAAAATACTCCTCCAGCTAAAATAAAAAACATCCAGCCAAAGAATGCCAGCCGAACACTCCCGAAGCTGCAGTAAATAGCAACTAGCCAGCGATATGTGCAGTCGCATGTGTCTGTTTTTCTGATGTCTGGTTGGCATTAACAATACCGATATGTGCGTAGACACAGGCAAACAGCTAGCTGCAACGGAGTGCAGCTAGCCAGGCTTGTGCAACGACGGCAGCGAGCTGGGGGCTCACCGTGCCAGTGATCTCTGCTACCGATCCAGCGATCCTCTGCGCTGCGAACTGCGGTGTGCCCAGCGCCCGAGCTGTAAAAGCTGAGCGCCGAATAATTGTGCCGCGCGGAGTGGCCTAGCAACTCTTGAATGCCCGGTGCGCCCGCCTCATGTCCAGATCGGCGGAATTCATTGCGCTCGCTGCAAGCCTGCAAGCAAGCAACGGTCGCCGCCTGCTCCCCTCCCCCAATTTACGCCGCCACGTCGTGCAGAGCTGCAGCAGCCTGCACCGGCAGCAGGCTCCGTCGTGGAAGAAGAAAGGTATGGTATGGTATAGGGCCTGATCGGACGGTAAGTCGCCGCATCGGGGCCTCTTTCTTCCCTCTATCCTGGCCCAACAACCGACCAACGGCCTCAGCCGCGTGCCAGGCAGGCCCAGCCCACAGCCCAATCAGAAACCCATCAACCTTAGCGGCGCGGGCGGCGAGGCGCAGTCACGCGCAACGGCAGGCAGGCAGGCGGGGGACACGGGGCACCCGCCCGCCTCCCCTCGTCGGCGAGTCCCGCCCGCTTCCGCCGCAAGAAACGGAAGGTGGCCTTGCCCACGCAGCAAATTTTTCCCCTCCCTTCCCCTAGGCTCTAGCAGTAGTAGTCCCTATCCAAAACCTAGACCGCACCCCCACCGCCACCGCCGCTCCCCTCCCCACCGCCGCCTGCTCGCCTCGCCTCACCTCACCGGGGTCTAGCCGCTCAGGCCCCCGCGGCCGTAGAAGCAGTGGGGGCGTGAGAGAGGGAGCTACCGCTCGTTTGGTTTGGTTTTCCTTCGGTGCAACTCTCGTGACCTCCTCCCGCTTCTGCCTCGCACCGCCGCTCGCAATGGGGATCTAGAGACACCCAATTCTCCCTTTGTAGGCACCTCTCTCTCTTAAGTGATCCCTGCTTCTCCCATTCGTGTTGCGGCTGTCTTCTTTCACTTTTGAAATGTATTTTGCTTGGTGGCGCTGTGTATGCAATCGGTGTAGATTTTCCGATCGAAGTCGATCCAAGTCGGGTTCTTAGAAGGATATCTTGCTCTGCAAGTTCTCTTTCCATTAGCGGTCCTGGATGTTGTACAATTCTCGATTTTGGGTCTGAACAGTGTTTTTTCCATGTTCAGACTTGTCGATGGAGGGATTTATGTTTGTGCATTCCTGTTTTGTGTTGAGCTTTGTGCTTTTGGTGCTGTTTTCCTGATTGGAATGGCATGCTATGTTCACTGTGGAGTGTTAACTGTTAACACTCAAATATGGTTTGCCGATTTGTTGGAATAAGCTTACTTCGCTGGGATCGGATATTTGACCATCTCTGTTCACTAGATTATGCTGTTTATGGTGGCTTTTGCTTGAGAATTTCATGTGAGTTGTTTGTACAAAGATGAGTGTACACAAGTATTTCTGTGTTTCAATGCTGCATGTGCAGTGCTCAGTGTCAGCTTAATTTTTGAAAGAATGATGCTGTATTCATTTCTTTGTAAGCTTGCTCGGCAGGACTGCTCTCAGCCCTGCGGCTGCGCCTTATTACTGTAGCATGAACTATTTCTAGTTCATGAACTATCTCTGCAAATTTTGATTTTGGTCAGCGGTTCTACTTGTTGAGTGGATAGCACATGTTGCAGTACCGTCATAGTGAACTAAGTCGGGTCAGTTGGATGGTCGGTACTGTAAGCCTTCTGGAAATAGAATTTCTTGGGCCACAAGTTGTTGAATAAGAAGTTACTGCATGGCTCGTTACTTAAATTGATATGTGGTGCAGATTTAAAACATGAACCTATAGCGGCCCTATTACGAACTTTAATTTCTATATAGCTTGTTGCCTAGTTGCACCAGAGAGGCTGAGTCAAGAATATCCTGTACTATTAGTTACAGAGGAGGATTTCTTGGTTTCCAAGAAACGTGCTTGATTGTCGATCCTATTATACATCATTAGTAGTGGTGTACTTTCCTTCAAATTTGCATGCAGCTTGTTTGTATAGAATGGTATTTTTTTAGGGTATGCATTGTATCTTGCAATGAATGTGGTAACGTACTGTCAGATTTGTTTTCTTCTAATCCGGAATGACATGTACTATGTCGTTTATGCATGTTGTTTATGTTACTTCCCATTTAAGTTGCGCGTTCCTCGTGATAAGTTGACAATACAGGCTGTAACGCCTTCAGTGCAGACCAGTTCTGTCTTTTTTCAGAGGATGATTGGTGTTTGGTCACTTGTCTATGTTTAACAGAAAATGATTTCTTGGTCCGTAAGTAGTTATGTGGTTTATGCCATTTTGTAAATAAAAAACTTTAACTACAGTTCAGTATAGCAGAAGAAATAAACCAGGAATATGGGATGTTGATACTTATACTTAAGAAATTGATTTCTCGATTTATTAGTTATTCTTCATGAGACTCTTGTGCAAGAAATCGCTTACATTGGCATGCCATGTATAAGATTTTATTTAGAAAGTTTTTGACTGCCATGGCCTAATATAGCAGGATCGAATCAAGGTAATTTTATCTACATCTGCACTAAAAGCATTTGGCGATCTTTTGTTGTTCTCTTGCGCTGCCATATGCCAAAAGATGAGTCATTATTAGGAGAAATAATTAACCAGAATTTTTTGTGTGTGTGTGTGTGTGGGGGCGCAGGCAGCATACTTTATGTCAGTCCTTTACATCTCTATTTTTGAGCTTCGACTGCTGCAAACTAAAGTATGTTAAATTAGAGAAAGTCCCTTTATTAATTCTTAAATTGAATTGAGAGGCTGCCAACCCAGTCTTGAACCTGGGTGCTCGCAGGTCTTGTTGGTACTCCCCTCTGTTGAGACAGCCTGGGGGCGTCTTCTCGTGGTCTGAGTTTCTCTTTTCATTTTTCAATTCTTGAACTGTGTTTTCGCTATGAGACATTCATTCAGTACCTTTTACAGGGTTATTGTCTACCACTGAGAGTTTAAACTGAAGGGAGATCTATAAATCCTGTATCATATTAGGGTTTGTTTTCTTTTCTTTCTCCATTTGTTCTGGTGGGGATCAAGCCTCCAATGGCATCATCGCGAGAACCCAACTCCCTGTGCTTGAAGCGCAAACTTGTCGAAGATTACCTATCGGAAGAGTGCAAATCTCGTCGAATCAAAGCTAAGAATGGGCCCTCATCTGATTCATCTGCTAAGCACTGCAACTGTAGCTGCACAAGACCTAACCTTGCCGATGATTGTGACAATTTCCTGAAGAGCGGAGTCCCTAGCCGTATCATGTATTACAGACAAGGTTCTTGGCACAATTTTCCTGAGAAAATAATGAACTCCCTCATTGAAGAATTCAGTGGCAACAAATCAAGTGTTGTTTCTGCGATGGATGATGAGCCTCTTCTCATTGATTTCTTGTCAATGACCATGGTCAACCTAAAATCCAGAAAGCAACGATCTGTTGCATGGGTTGATGATACTGGAAAGTGTTTTTCTCCTTCTCTGTTCCTTGATGAGGAAATTGATGATATGGCCAAAGGGGAATCTGATAATGTTCAGCGCACTGTACAGGGAATAATGTTGGATAAGGATACAAATGCTCCACCTGAAGTGGTGAAACAAGTTGTCCTTGATTCTAGCTCTTCAGTTCCTCATAAACTTTCCACCGCAGACATATTACGCAAGAAGATCACAGCCATGGAAAGAGGCAGCAAAGACTTTCTATTTGTCCAGGACCTTTTCCTCTCTGGAATGGGTCCATTTGCAACACCAAACAATATACTCCGTGTGTACGGTTATTCTCCGAATGATATAACTGCACAGTGTAGACTTGAAGCTTTTGAAAGACAGATTAGGTCCACCAAAGAAAAACGTGGTGATGCAAATGTTAGATATGGATGGCTAGGATCCAAGAAGAATGACATTGTCAGGATTCTAATTAACGGTTTGGATCCCACTGGAGAACATGTTGAGAAGTCAGATTTGAGTGCTGGTGTTTATCTTTCACCAGTAGACCGAGCATTTACCAGGTGCCCTTTCTTAATTCAGTTGTTGTTACTATTCTGTTTTACAAACATGTTTATTATATCAACATCACTTTTTTTTACCAGTGTCGGTCTTTGTGATGTTGACGAAAAAGGAGTGCAGTATATGTTACTGTACCGAGTGATATTGGGTAACCTGGAAGCTGTGGAGCCTGGATCGCATGAGTTTTTTCCAACCAGCGAAATATATGATTCTGGTGTTGACAATTGCTTATACCCAAAGTGTTATGTGATGTGGCCATCACATCTAAGCACTCACATGCAGTTAGAATATCTTGTTAGTTTCAAGCTTGCCCCAGAAGCTCGAAGTAAGATTATTATTGACTATTTAGACGCTTATTATGTCATACAGAGATAGGTGGAGTGAATTTTCTTTCCGGTTTCACTTATTTTCAGATTACTTGCTTGGCTTGAAAGGCTTATGGTTTCGCCCACCATCAGAGGAAGTTGCAGTGGATATTTCTGCTCTTCAACCTGTGAGGCCACCTGAATCTTGTTAACTTGTTCATCATTGACATGCTGGTTTTCCTGCTAGATGCATGTCTTGTAATAGGAGAACAGAAGCTTTGGCTGCCCAATGATTCCCTTCCCATTCTCTGCTTTCAGTGTCAAATAGTTTTAGATTTGGTTTATAGTATTCCATTTATCCAACTGAGTGAACTGACTGGTCTGTACACAGGTAATGTGTGAAGCAAGTGAAGGACCAAGTACCCCATGGATATCATTCAAAGTCCTGTTCAGATTAATTCAAGATAAAATATCCTTCATAGCAAGGGAACTGCTCTTCCATCATGACGAAGAGCTGAAGGTACTATCTATTCAACAAGTTATATTACGTCTGTTAGTGTTAATTATGATTGTTATGTTGGGCACTGGAATATTTATTTTTCTATTTAACAGGAAGGAAAAATAACTCGTGAAGAAATGGTGAAGAAGATGATGATGATAGTTGGAGAGAAAATACTCATGGAAGCCCTGAAGAAACTTCATTACTGTGTGAGTCTCTTGCAGCATGCATGTTCCTTGTTTCAGTGACATTTGAATCTTACAGGCTCATGCTAGTAAATTGCAAGCTTATATAGGAATGATGCATTGACATATGATGCTTGCAAATTCACCATAAGTAGTGTCGTAGTGGTTGCTATATTCACCTCTCAGGCTCTCACAGCTTGGATTCATGCTGATTGCACATGCAGTATAAAAATTTGATTAAATTCTGGTTTGCAATGATTTGACATAATAGAAAGCTGCCTTTTCCAGCTTTTAAAGACAAACACCTTTTATCTTTCCAGAAGAAAAGGCACAGTTCTTTCAATGAAATTCTATTAGTTCTTGAATTCCATGGATGTAGATATGTTATTTGGCAAATTTGGCTGGCATCGCCTTAGAATGTTGACTTAAATCGAACTGAGGCTGTTATGTGCTTACTGTCTAGTACCTACTTTTGACTTTTCTGTTGTTTTTATGTTTGTTATTAGTAGAAAATCCAAATTATCAAGCAGCTGCATATTTCTTTGCTGACTCTCAGGCATCTGATTAAATTTTCTAGGCCTGGATGTGTGCTACTGTGCTACCTTTCTTTGCTGGCATGTTTATGTTCTTAGCATAACCTTTTTATGGTCTTATATCACAGCCATCATTATGGTACAAATCTTCTGTTAAAGCTATTTCTAATGATCCTGTAAGGACTGAAGCAGACCAGGTATCCTTGGATACAACAGGCAGGAGTTGTAACCATGGTGATTCATGTGCACAAAATGCAACCGCTGAACACTCAGCAGGTCCTCTTAGCACCAAAGTATGTGGTGCTCTTCCTACTGACGTGGTTCCCAAAGGCTCTGACTATCCAGCACCAACTGGTGTACCAGAAACATCTAGTTCTGCTGGTGCCAAATGCCTGGGTTCTCAAGGCATGGAGGGTGAAGGTAGAGATTCTCCTATGCAGATCATGTCACGGGGAAACTCTACAGCTCAACCTGCGAGATACCAAGATCCTACTGTAACAAGAATGCCACCTATAATTTGTGATGACCCTTTGAGGATTTCTCCTGGAATATCTGCATCTCCTGGTGTGAAAGTTTGCAATTCTGCTCCAACAACCACAGGGCCTCCTGGTTGTGCTTCTCTAGCTCCAACTAATGCTTCAAAGACCCATGAGATTTTGGTTCCAGGTACAACTCCTAGTCCTAAGGGCTGTGAGTCTGTTGTGCCAATCTTGGTACTTGGAAATTCAGAAAGTGCAGGCGTCAAGCATCTCAATTCTGCACCAAGGATGACACCTGAAGGCCAGGAGTTTCTTTCGCTGGGTATTGTATCGCAGAGCCCTGTTCTTCATCCAGTGAAAGGACCTGATGCTTCATCATCGGCTGCCAGGCCTCCAGTCTACCCACCAGGCAAGTATTTTTGTACCATCAACTTGGCTCAAGCCTACGCATCATGTGTGGCATCGCAAGGCTGGTTGTTGCCTGGCAAATGTTGATCACCAAGGCTTGCCATTCCTTTGCAGGACGTGGAAAATCACCATCCGTGAGCACAGGGATCTGCGATTCTCTATCACTGAGCATCACACCACAAGGGCATGATCCTCCAGCGTCTAGAGCAGAGCCAAAGCAACAAAGATCTCCTGCAGCTGATTCAACGCCAGAAAGTCGTCGCCCACCTCAAGCCATGGATGCGGCCACCAAGGTTCATAATGCTCCCACACCAAGTACGGTGCTCTCAGCCTCTCACTCTGGAATCTGCTGTAGTGCTGCACATCAAGTACTTAGCGTTTACTTAATCTCACTTCTCTTGCTCTTCTTTGCTTGGCCGCTGCAGTAACCAGGGAGAGAAAAGACCAGGCTGCTGCACAGAATAAGCTGCCTGGGCCAGGCCTTGATGGTTGCAGCCATGTCAAAACTCTCATCGCCCTATCAACTCCGCGAGAGAAGGGCGAGCGTTAGAGTATGCATCCTTAGCTGTGTACATGTACCTGCTCCCATACTGGGGTCTGGTGTAACCTGGTGGGATGGAGTATAGTTTTCTCCGTAGACAAGAACACCCCGTCGACTCTTCTGAACATAAATCTTTTTGGCTAGTAAACTGCTAGCGATAATTTATTTCCTGTATATAGATGACTTGTGCCGTGCCTGTGCTAGTTATGGCCCATGGCCGTGGGCGGGCATCTTGGCGAGCTGTGTTCTGTGCCGCTGGGTTGTGCCACTTTGGGCCCATTTTCTGTTTGGAGAACAGATGGAGCTGGGCTGGGCTGCGATTTGATTGTTGATTCGCTACTCTCTGTATATGATTGCTGTCTCAGTTCGATACCACCCTGCTAATGAATGTGTTTAGTCCAAACTCAAGTGGATTGGAAACAAAAAGGAGTAGAAGACCTAGGCTACAAAGGACATGGATGCCTGGATGGGATGTTAAGCCCTTATCCTCTCATGCTGCTGGCCACCTGGGACTATGATTACTTGACAACACGTCTACACAACAAAGGCACTTGGGCCATGTTTAGTTCCCCCATTTTCTAGAATTTGGCACTATGCAAAAAGAAGATTCCCCGTCACATCAAACTTGCGGTACATGCATGGAGTACTAAATGTTGACGAAATCAAAAACTAATTGCACAGTTTGGTTGTACTCTACGAGACGAACGTTTTGAGCCTAATTAGTCAACGATCGGACAATTATTACCAAATAAAAACAAAACGCTACAGTGCATGAACAGTGTCGCCGAATCCGGCGGCGCCGAATCGGCCTCCAACTAAACACGGCCTTGAGATGTCCATCCAGCATAGCTAACCGATGCTGTCAAAGCCATCAGGCAACACTAGGCACTTTCCATTCCATTAGTTTACCAAGATTAACTGTAGCCAAGCATGCGCCATTAGCCTCCATCATCCACCACAACCAAGTGATATGATGAGTGAGGCCCCTGCTTCTCTGCTTCCGTTAACCTCCCCGGCCAGCTCCCACTCACCAACCACGCATGCTAGTGGCCGGCGCCGTGTCGTGTCACGTCGCCTCCTCACCGTTGAAATTGCGCTGCCAAAAAAGGCCTCTTCATTCTTTACCCCAGAAAACAACAACAACAACAATAATAACAAGGGAACAAGTTCTGTGGGGTTAGTTAGTTCGACGGCAACAAAAGGGACGTGAAAGGCGCGAGAAGAACCACTCTTTCCACGGTTCCACCGCCATTTTGCATCGCTTTCTGTGCTCTCGAGCATCTGCATCTCGTCGCATGCAGGTTATTCTTTCTTCTTGTTTGTTCCTCCCTGTGACTTGCGAGGGGCATCGGACATGACGCGCATATATGCAAAATCTGATCGTATCATGAGAAAAACGTCGTATTCTGTAAAGAACACAGTGGAGCAATGTGCACATGGAACCGGATCTACTAGCTGCTTTATCCACAGCATCAAAAGTTAGATCCATATCCTCGCACTAGATTTAAACCAAGTCAAGTTTTCTTAAATTTGACTAATATAAGTTTATAAAAAACAATATAAATATTTATGTTCTCAAATTAGTTTATTATAATATATATTCTACAATTAATCTGATATTTCCTTAATTCTGAATTATAAGATGTTTGCGCTTTTTAGATATACATTACTTTTACGATGCATATCTAAGTCGTAGCAAAATCTATGTATCTAGAAAAATCAAAAAATCTTATAATTTAGAATGGAGTGAGTAATACTTATTTTGTATTGTAATTATTAGTGTTTTTGTTGAATTTAGCTAACAAAATTAAAATCGTTTGATTTCTGCAAAAAAAAAAAATGCACTGTAACGAGACAGTCTGTAGTAGACTAGGTAGAATAAGTTCAAGTTTTCTAACTTTAATCATTTCATAGAAAAATACTACATCTACACTTATCTACAGCATACAATTAGCTTATTAATTAGATTTACACCATGGAATATGTATGTATCGGCATTGCATTTAGGTCCTATTTGAATCCCATGGTCTAAAGATCATTTTAGCTCACTTTTATTGTCTAATGAACTAATGCCCATTTTTAAGGTTGGCTAAACTTTAGACATAGCTTTGGACACCTATAGGTCTAAAAAGGTCTATTGACCCTCAAGAGCTAAAACGGCCCAAAGTTTAGTGGCACCAGTAAACTTTAGACCATGGGATTCAAACATGCCCTTAGATGTCAATATTTTTATAAATCTAACCAAAGTTAAAACAAAGGTTTGATTTTGAATAAAACTAAAACATCCTACGCTTTGAAAAGTAACGAGGAGGCCAAATTGAGAAAAAGGGAACAAGGGAAGAAAAGGCAGCTTGATATATTCCCTTTATTTGTTGTTATATATATAATAAATAGGTGTTTGGGCTTATGGCCGAACATTGCAGGTCAAATCCGTGGAGCACTACAAGTAGGGTTAGTCGCCCTGGCCCAGCGGTTTCTCGTGCTCAAGTGGATTAATGCTCGCCAAAGCACGCCGACTTTACAGAAAGGTGAAAGCCTGACTGCTAACTGCCCTAGCTAATCCAAATGTATGCACGCTTAACTACAGTAGAGTAGTAGCAACAAAAACGACAATGTGTTTTCTCGTCGACCTATGAGCTATGATCTCTCTCGTTTGGTATCCATCTCTTTCATTTCTTTCTCTTTTTTTTATCAAATTCGATACGAACCGACAAGTCGTATATTAGATTCCGCACCAAAATAATGGGGCTGTGCAGCATGTGTATGTCCCTTTTTCTTTTTTCTGTGAGTAGCAAATGTGCAAGTGTGTTGTAATAGAGCATATCTATACTTTATCATGCTGTCACATTGACAACTTACAGACATAGTTACCAGGAACAACGTAGTACGGTGCCACGTTCCACGTCCCGTAACGTGTGTTCCTGTTCCGGGAACGGGGATCAGTTTCATTCTGACGGTGAAAACCCCTTTCCAAGGAGCGTTCCGGAGCATACCACTTTCCTCGATCCCCGTTCCACGACCCAATCGTTCCGTAAACTTTCTGACTATGCTTTCAGCTCGAAGATTTATGGAGTGGCCAAGTCATCTATTACAATATGTGTATTGGAATAACTTTATTCATACTATTACTGGACTCACAAACTCGTGTGGTTTCAACTTGTATGAGCACAGAACGTGAGTCCAAAGTCACATATGAAACAAGGAGGAACATGAGAGTAATGCAAAAAAAAAGCACCACTAATAATACACCAAAGTAAGCACCGCACCAAAGTATTTTCGCCACCCCCACACAAACCCTTTTTTTGTAGAAAAAGAAAAAAAAATCAAAAACAACCGAACGAAGAAGGTCAAAGATGAGTTTGATTTGCACTCTGTTCTGTACGTGCAATAGGCACTCAGCTCTGGATCATGATCAATATTACAATAATTAAGCTGGTGGATGCAAATCAGATTACACAGGCACCTAATACCTTTTAGTTTTTGCCAATTTCCCTTGAATTTTGCAGCTTTGGTTTGGTGGTGGCGACAGTGACCCGGCCACACCGTTTGTCCGAATGGGCTGGTCTCCAGATTCCAAATCCGGCCGGAAGGACACCACTGGTGTGGCTGGTGAGAGGTAGCCAACCGTCGACGTGCGTCTGCATGCATGTGTTGACCCTTGACCTTGAGATGGCAACGTCGTCTCCATGCACGCATGCACACCCTGTTCCTTCAGCTGTGTTCAGACTTGCATTGCAGCCAGCAGTCCCGTCGTCTTCGTCGTCTACGTACCCAGCTACTCCGTCTGATTTTAAATACAGGTGTTATATCTAGATAGTACTCCCGTAGGATGTGGCGGTCAAGTTGACCCATCAGTAGGATTGATGTTGCCAGATCTGTCATGAAAAATAATTTTATATTTTAATATGTAATAAAGTTTACTGTTTCGAATGATACATTTATATAAAAGAAATTACAGTTAAATGTCATATTGGACATCATGTTGATATGTCCTGATGAATGACACAGAAATTAATATTTTTGCTCGTTTCTTGAAAAGGAGTGAGACGCACTCCCTCATTTCAGATCGTTAGGATAAACTTTTGACCACCGATTTTGTGACAAAATTTGTGTTGTTAGGTTTGTATTAAAATTTACTTTTGATTGTGGTTGTAGTTTTTGTATCAAATAAATAGAATACTGTAAGTAATCATTGGTCAAATTCTTATCCTATATACTTTTCATGAAGTTGGAACTTCTTTATTTAACTTATTATTGGAGACTTGGAGTGAATCAAATTAAAACAGTAAAAAACATAGATATGGTATAATCAAAGTGATAAATCACTTGTTTCTGAACTTGTTCATCATATAAAAAAGGTGCTCATGAATATTTTTAGAGTGTATTGGATAGGAAATAAATAAGAATAAGATGTATGAACTGAATCTTGTTTTGGTTTGACAATGGGGTCACTACTGGAAACGTGTGCTTTGCCGAGGGCCTGAAGATTTGCCGAGGGCCAAATCTCGGGCACTCGGCAAAGACGCTCTTTGCCGAGGGCCAGACACAAGAGCCCTCGGCAAAGAACGGCCCTCGGCAAAGAGGCCTTTGCCGAGGGGGGTACGACCCTCGACAAAGACAGGCCCTCGGCAAATCAAATCTTTGCCGAGGGCCGAGGCCGGCCCTCGGCAAATTAGGCCCGTTGGGTCACGGCGGCCATTTCCCGTCAAGCTTTGCAGAGGGCCACCCGTTAGGCCCTCGGCAAAGATTTTTTTTTTTTTAAATTCTTTGCCGAGGGTCCAGATCCACGGCCCTCGGCAAAGATTTTTTATTTTTTTTAAATTCTTTGCCGAGGGCCCAGATCCACGGCCCACGGCAAAGATTTTTTATTTTTTTAAAAAATTTCTTTGCCGAGGGTCCAGATCCACGGCCCTCGGCAAAGATTTTTTATTTTTTTAAAAAAATTCTTTGCCGAGGGCCACGGGGCAGGCCCTCGGCAAAGAGCCCTCAGCAAATTTTTTTTTTGGTTT